TATGTTTGACAAGGGGCAAATATTCCGAATATATAAAGCACACCTAAAATTCAATACTAAAAAATATTAAAATGTTCAATAAGTCAAAATAAACATCTTAAAAAGGTGACAAGGAATAACAAGTATAAGAAAAAAATCAACATCACTAATCATCATGAAACTATATGGCACAGTAAGAACATTTATATAATTTATTAATATAAAAATGGTGCAAAGATTAGGAGGTACTAGTGAGGCCGTGGGGAAAGGCAACGCTTCCATTATTGGTAGAAATCGAAATAGTCGTTATGGAAAACAGATTGGAGATTTCTCAAGAAATTAGAGACAGAACTACCATCTAAGAGTGATACAGTAGGACACCTGATGGTCTCCATATGTAAGCACAGATTCAAATATCCACACACGTGTATATGAATGCATAGCACACATAAACTGAACACACATCAATATATATGTATATAAAATTCGCTAGTAATAAAAGCACAGTTCTGATCATGGCTAGTCTTTACTAACTTTGCATATTGGTTAGTTGCATCCAGCACAGCTACATGTGATATAGGCTGTCAAAGTATTAGCATGCATTCAGAGGACATCTCTGCCACCCAGCTTTGTGACTTTGGAAAACTGTAAATCTTTGAATAAGTTTTCTCAAATGTGAAGTGTTTAGAAGCTTATGTTGGGATTGTTACTTAACATAGGAAAGGACCTTATCATACACAGTTCCTTTCACTCAGTAAGTCTTTCCTGAATGTTAACTACTGTGTTAGAAGACAGTGTTGTTTCTGTGTAAGCCAGGAGTAATGCATTCATCCATAGTCAGGGTTTCAGACATAGAAGCCAATAGCTAAGCCATGGCTCTTCTTCATTAACAATAACATTAGACCCAGGAGTTAAGTTTCCTTGATAGCACCTAAGTTATGAAAAGAGACATTAGCATACATATGAACTTCCTAAATATACATATATATGTGAATATACACACACATGCACATGTACACATCCATATATATGAAGGGATATCATTTTAGGCTTTTGAACAGTTAAGATTCTGAGTTCAGCTCTGCAGTTAATTTAACACTTCAAAGAGATCAATCTAAAAATTACATTTTTCTTAAACACGTTAATGAAATATTTGACTAACTATAATTTTCTTTTTTCAAAATTTATTAACTTACTAATAACTACTGTTTAAAAGGCTACATAAAACATTAGATAAACAAATAGCTAAGAAGCAGTAAGTGCTAACAACACACAAAGTGTCAGCAACATGCGCGTGCGCACATACACACACACACACACACACACACACACACACACACACACACACACACACATAATTTCCATGGAATTTGTGAGAAGGTTTTTGTTTCTTTGGTATGCACAAAGTAGGTAAGTTGGCAGAAGAAAACAAAAGTCCTTGTATATTTCAAAAGACAAGCCTAAGTATTATTGTGATGGGCAATGCTTGCAGTGAATTCTGTACCTGAACTAGGAGTTGTATTAAGATTTTAAACTTCTGCTGGCTGATTACCTATCTTTGGTCAGACTAAGGAAACAAAAATTGTATAACATTCTGTGGTAAAAAGTGTATATGATAGCACTTGCTGGTTTTAAAGTCATCTCCTCACACATGATTACAAAAATGAGTATATCAGTACAGCCCATGTCTTCTGAGCTCACCCCGGCCTTGGTATCAACTCAGCATAAGCACTTGTAGCATAATAGCCCTGTGCTTACATACAAACCTGTGACAAGCAATTGTGCAACGTTGCCTGTGATTGCATGTCATCTCCATAACTACACAAGCATTTGAAAAACTTGACAAATAGAAGATAATACAAATAGTTACTCTATCAACACATATTTTTATTCTAGAGCTGATATTCAATATATATTATATTACTTTGATACAGACACGAAGTCATCTGAAAAATAATGAAAATTGACTTTGAAATTATCCATCAGAGTATTCTCATTTTCACTGAAAACTATCACAGCAGCTTTCAATGATCTGGTCTAATCAGTGCTTGGGATGAGCTGATTTGTCAAAGCTGCAGATAAGAGTCACCAGTGTTGACAGTGGTTTCCTTTGGTGTCCTTTGCAACTTTTAAAAGCAGTTAATAAAATGACCCCATTTCCTTAATAGTGATAACAAAAGGGAATGGTTGTAAATATATTCTGATCCCAGGCAGAGATTCTGGGGAAGAAATTAGCATTGCACCTGTATTTAAAGAAATGAGCTGACACATGCTTTGCTTGGCTGTCCAGTCATATTCCAATCCTGGCTCCACCTTCCTCCAAATGTACAAGGAATCAGAATGCAGGCAGCTGATATTAAGGAACTACATAGAAAGGGACAATTCCAGCTTTCCATATTGATAATTCAGCCTTAACAGAGAGAAACAATGCCCAGTGCTTAATATTGCATTTTAGGAGTTGACTGGAGTATGTTTCTTCAGAATTAAAATCTCTGATAAAGGAAGGGCTCCAGAGATGCTACAAAACAAGTGCTTGGCATGATTAACTTAATATATCTCTGATTGCTTTCATTTTACTGCATTTTTTTTTTGCATAAAAACTAAGAAATAAGATCTTACCGCTAAGAGCATCTTGAGTGGCATGAAAGTCAGTTAACCATAATGAATCATCAATAACCCTATCTCAGCTGACATCATGGCCTCACTGGACTTCTCTGCTGGTCCTTCAGCAGGGAACCACATTGCATTTCACTTGAACACTCTTTCCAGCCTCATGTGAAAATGAACAATGCCCTCATTTCTCAGAAGCAGCTTTTCTCTTTCCTCTGTCCTCGTTCTCTTTGGCCAGTTAGATCTGACCTTCACTGCCTCGGGATACCATGTTTGTTCTAGTATTTCCCAAATTCAATCCCATCCTTCACATTAGATGGGGATAGCCTTTCCTCTCATGCCAGGTTTGCTATCTCATTCACGGGCTCCAGAACTGACAAAAGGCCTTTGTACTGCTCATGGCCTATTATACAAATTTCAAGTGTTCTTTTAGACATGAATTTCCTTATCATTTCTCAATCCATTCTGCGGTTTTCTATTCTTTCCTGTGGTTTCTCAGCTAATCTTTTGGATATCAAGTTCAAGGCTCAGATTCTCTGGAGAGCTATTAATCATTTTCCCATTGCTTAATTCTATATAGCATTCCCTTCGGTTCTTTTCACATCTCAACTACACAAATGTAACACTAAATACATAAGAAGAATTGGTATTCTGTATGTAGTTGCATGTGTCGATGCACATTTACAGAAATGTCTAAGTTGTTATTATTTCATGTGAATGGGTTTTTGGATTTCCAGCTAAGCTGCAAGTATATTGTATTCAGTTTCCCTGTGGTATTATTGATTTTTTCAGCTTGTTCCTTTTAGAATCTGCTCATCAATAAATGTGTTTTGATTGATTAATCATTATTTCAACCTTAATTTTTTTTTGCTTTTCAACCATATGCGTTTTGTTTTTGTCTTATTTATGTAGAACAAGAAGGTATTGATGGAATATTAGATAATTGTTTGTAACTGTATGCCCCTTCCTTTTAGGAGGAGTACACTGACCCGCTCCATTGACTTTGAACCTGATCAGTGGGGTATATGAGTAGATGTGTGCTGCATCTAAGAAAGAGGTGAGGCAAGAAAGAAAGTGCTTGGTACTCTCTTTTGCAATGAGAACAGGCAAAGCAAGACTAGGATGCTCTGCCAACCTGGGCCGTACAACTGGGAGCTGAACAGAAAGTAGATTTTTTTTAAAGATTTATTTATTTATTATGTATACAGAAGAGGGTGCCAGATCTCATTACAGATGGTTGTGAGCCACCATGTGGGTGCTGGGAATTGAACTCAGGACCTCTGGAAGAGCAGTCGGTGCTCTTAACCTCTAAGCCATCTCTCCAGCCCCAGAAAGTAGATCTTTAGGTGACTCCGAGCTCAGAGCAGCAGCCCTCATGGTTCAGGAATAGAAACTTTGGAGTTTGTTTTCATTTCTAAAACAACTGACTAAGACAGATCATTAGACTCAGTCTTCCTCATTTTTCAGAGAAGGAGAAAGGTCTAGCTTTTCTATGGTTACTTAATGGAAGAGCTATGACATAGTTATGGATGGGTGCTTTGCAGACCTCTGCCCTCTGAATTTACTGCCTTTTTGCTATTTTCTAGTTTGAAGAACCACATCTGAGATTTATGCTTAGTGCTTACTGTCTGAACCCAAGTGCTTTTCTGATCTGCCATTATCGTCTATTGAGTATCAAGTAATAAAGGGTACAATTAATGTCACATAGCCAATATCTCTACCTAGATAATCGTGACATCCTCTAAAGTCAAAGTTTGTCTTGTAAATATAATGAGATGCTTTGATTCTCTCTGATAGAAATTATTAATCTAAAAATTGCCAAACTTTCTTTCTTAAACAATTTCCTGTCACACAACATTCTAGATTGAAGGTGGATGTATTATCTTTATAAGTTTTTCCCTGTGTTCCATGACAATCATCTCACATAAAGTTTAATACCAGATGGAGGATTCTAAAGTATTTACCATTTCCTTCATAAAATTCCAATGAAAATATCCCATATAATATATGTATATCTGCAAATTATGATTCTAATTTGGTCCCGAAGTACATTTTGTGCTTTCATGTTCTTAGAAATAAGTTAATTTCCACAACTCTATGCTGTTTACTTCCTTAAATGTAGACTAGACCGCTTAGCTGCCATCATAATTTCAGCACATCTACTCTATTTGGCACATACAATTTTGGAGAGTAAAAGAAGTTATATACAACAACACTTTCCTCCTATTCATGGAGAAAGAGAACACGTTTTAGACAAGACACTTCTTGTAAGACAGCCACTTCTAGGAACTGTTTTCATACAATGATTTTTGTAACAGAAAGAAAAATGTGATGCGCCGGACAGTGTAGCCAAGTATATTTTTAAAGTCTAAATTCCCTCCTTTTTTATTTAGACCATTTAATAGCCTTACCTTTGTGAAAAGACATCTCGGTAGGGGCTGCCATGCTGCAGGGCGATCCCATACCCCCGGTCAGCAACAGTATTCCCAACGGTGTAGAAGGAGCAGTCTGGGTCATTGATAGCCACATATTCCAATACAGCTGCATCCCATACAAAAGCATAGTTTCCATATTTTACCTGTGAAAATATGAAGGAAGGATTAAAATAAGACTTAAGGTTGAAAGTTACATAAATAATAAATATTACAATAGTATATGCAGAAATTATAGGATATGCGTGTTTAAGGAAACTCATATTTGAGTTTCTGTTAGTCTATAGCTCTTTACTTCTAGAAATGTGATGAAGGTAGAACACTATCCATGATTCCAGAGAACATGGATTGTAATAAGAGGATTCTTGAGTTGTAGATGTCATACGGATTGGAAGAAGGTTAAAAGCACGTCTCTGAGCTTGCAGTGAGCCTTGCTACTTAGATTTTCATGAGGGACCCTTAAAATCTATGATTCTAGAATTATTAAGAGATGCTGACTTGGTTAGTTTATGAGGCTTCTAAACTAGGCATCTTTCTTCATAGTCAATACAGCTTTCTCATGACCCATGTTTTACATAAAAGCTCACAATTCCCATTAAGGAGAAATTACTAATACCATTCTACCTGCAATCCTCACTGTGTCTTCTTTGTTCTTCTGAGTTCATGTCTTTCCAAATACAGATTATGGAGCTCTTACAATCAATAAATCTCTCTTGAATGTTTTGTTGACATGATAGAAAGTTTTATCTTATGCATTATATTGTCATGTCTTCTTTCCCAAAGAAGTCTTATTTCCATTGACGACTATTACAATTAGGAAAACAATTCTACAACAACCTTCTTTATCAATATTTGGGAATATAAATTCATAATGGGTCATCTACAGTGTATTTTAGTAATTTTTTCAGTCAGCAATAACTCATATGAGAGCCCACTGTTATGGTTTGGATTTGACATGTCTCGCCCAAAAGATCATGTGTAGTTGGCTAAGGATGCAGCTGGTGGTATGGTTTAGAGTTGGATGGATCATGAGGCCACAGACTTCATCAGTTCATGAGCTCATTGACAGGCTCATAGCTGCATAGACACTTGGGCAGAGCAATTAATAGACTCTTAATTCTTGGCAGCATGTTGTCAGCTTTGGAGATATTTCTTGTCCTTAGGCCCTTCCTCTTTGTCCCTGCTTCTTGTCACACCTAAGGTGAAGTGCTCCCCTCTTCTCTACATGTCCTTCCATCATGATGCCCTCTGCATAAATAACAACCATGTACAACCATTGTCTGAAACTACGTTCCTTCTACTCTTAAGTTGTTTTCTCAGATGTTAGGTCACAGTGATAAAAAGTAACTAATATACACATTTATCATGAAAGCGATTATGAAGGGGCCAGAGAGAGGGGCTGCTCTTTAAGAACATTGTTTCTTAACCTTCCCAATACTGCAGTTCCTTATATGGTGGCAACCTCTAACCATAAAATTATTTTCATTGCTGCTTTATAACTGTAATTTTGCTATTGTTATGAATCATAATGTGAATATCTGTGGGTTTTTTTTATGGCTTTAGGCAATTCCTGTGAAAGGGTCATTCAAACTCCCAAAGGGGTCATGACTCATAGTTTGAGAGCCACTGTTCTATAGGACCTGGGTTTCATTCTCAGCACCCGCATGTTAGCTTACAATCTTCTGCAACTCCAATCCTAGGGAATCTGACACCTACTTCTGGCATCCTGGGGCACCAGGCATGCACATGGTGCATAGACATACATGCAGGCAAAATACTCATACACAAAATATAAAATTTAAATAATTTAAAAAAGGAATGAAATAAGCAATTATGATAAACATCTCAATCAAGTTTATCTGGAAAATATTAAGTACAAAGATAAAATTTAATGAATTCATAGAAAAAATAAACCCCGAAGTTACTGTATTATATTAAAAGAAGAATGTAGCATTATTAAAATGAAAGGGGGCATTGGAGATGGCTCAATGGCTAAACTGCCTGCTATGCAAGCAAAAGGATCAAAGAATCAGATCCCTAGATCTCAGGTAAATGCTGGGTCAGCATGGCAGCTCTCTTATACTGCCAGCCTTGGAATGATACAGGGACAGGGACAGAGACAGGGATTCTCAGAGCAAGCTGGTTAGAGAAACTAGCCATGTTAGTGAGTTCTGTGTTTGATTCCTGCCACAATGAATAAGGTAGGAGGGTGATGGAGGAAGATTCCCAATATTAATTTCAGGCCTCAAAATGTCACACACATACATATGTATCCCCATATCTGTGAACATGCATATGCACATGAAAAAGAAGAAAAAAGAAAATAGAAAGAAAAGCGATACTAGTTCAGTGTTAACCAAGTGCCAGGAAACTACCTCTTGCAAGGGAGGGAGGCTTCATAAAAAATTGAAATAGGGCCAAAGAGATAATTTAGTGTTTAAGAGCACTTGCTGCTCTTCTAGGGGACCCAAGTTTTGTTCCTAGAACCCATATCAGGTGGCTCACAGCCATGCAACTCCACCTCCTGATGCCTCTGTCATCTGAGGGATCTAGAGTTACAAGCACATACCCACATGCACCAAACACACACACACACACACACACACAAACACACACACACACACACACACACACACACACACGATTAAAAATAACCTTAAAAATGTTGTTTCACTTGATTCTTTGCCAGGTATGGTGGTGTACACCATTAATTCTAGAACTGAGGAGGCAGAAGCAGGCATACTCTCTGAGTGTGAGGCCAGCTGGTCTATGCTACTGAGTCCCAGGCCAACCAGAGCTACACAATTAAATGCTCACTCTCTCTCTAAATAAAAAAAAATCTTTAAAACATTTGTCAACACTTAACACAGTTATTTGTATCTATTATTATTTTTTGTTTTTTATGACATGGTTTTTCTGTGTAGTCCTGCCTGGTTTGAAACTCACTTTGTAGACCAAGTTGTCCTCAGACTCAGAGATCCAACTGCCTCTGCCTCCAGAGTGCTGGGATTAAAGCAGTGAACCACAACTGCACAGATCATTCATCTATTTTTAAACCAGGAAGTAAATATCATTTTTAGTGAAATATAGAGTCTTCAGGCAGGCACTGTGGTGCATGCCTTTAATCCCAGAACTTGGGAGGCAAAGGATGGTGGATCTCTGTGAATTTGAGGCCAGCCTGGTTTGTATAGTAAGTGCAAGGACAGTAAGAACCACATAGTGAGACACTATCTCAAAAAAAAAAATAAAGAAATAAAGAAATATAGAGTCCTACAAAAAGCAAACCATTAGTAACGCTAATGGTATTGCCAACGGGTCGAGAGAATGATGTCTGCTATTACTTCAGCTTGACACTATGGTGGTATATTAGCCTGTGCAATAAAAGAGGGAACTATAACATGATTTCATTCTTTCAGGAAAAATTTGTTATGAGGTAGAGACAAAATTATATTATTTTATAACATTAAAAGCCTGCAGGAATTAACTGAACAAGTATTTGAAAGTATTTTAAGACAAGGACTAACTATAAGTAGGCAGATACATATCACTTGCTGTCTTATAACTTACCAATAAAAATAAATTATTTGAGAATACCCACTTACAATAAATACAACTACTTAGTACAAAATTTAATAGCCTATCATTTGATCCTACATAAAAGAGTCTTAAAGACAATGCAGAAGAACTTGTTTTTATCTAAAGTGTAGTATATCTCCCAAAGTCTGGATGCACAGTTGAAAAAAATATATACACATATATACATATATGTACATATGTATACATATATATCAGTTTTCCTCAAGTTATTTGAGAACTTAATACAATTTCAAGATTTTTTTTTCTTCCTTTCTTTCTCCCTTTGTTTGTTTGTTTCTTTCTTTTTTTGTTTTTGAGACAGGGTCTCACTATGTAGCTCTGACTCTCCTGGAATTTACTATGTAGACCAGGCAGGCCTCAAACAAACAGAGATCCACCTGCCTCTGCCTCCTGAGTGCTGGGGATTAAAGGCATGTGCCACCATACCTGTACAATTCTAGATTTAAAAAGAACAGTTTAAGGCCTATTAGTTACCTTCTATGGCTTTAAAATCTTTGCTTTTTCAATAAAAAGTTTCTCATGAAATGATGAGTGAACTAAAACTGTCAGGGCAGTTCTTCAGACTACAACCATCACAATCACCAGAGGATTCTTGTATTAAAAAGAAAAATACAAAATCAAATCACAGATTTACTACGTTGAATATTGGAAGCTTAAAACTGGAAGTATGTGTTTCAACAACTCTCCCAGAGTATGGATAGCCTTCCTTAAATATTTCTGTTGCTACTGATGAAACGCCAGTGTAAGGAACCATTTTCTACAGATAAAGTGTAAGAACAATTAACAGGGAGAGAATCCCAGAGTACTGATGTAGAAGAAACTGGGAATATTTGACTAAAAGTTTCCCCTGCCCTGAATCTCATGTCTGCAGATTTATTCCATACCTTTTTTTCTTTTTTTCTGATCCTTTGTATCAGACATCAAATGTCTGGTCTATTTCCAGATTCCTCTGTCTAACTCTATGATTTTTGAGATATATCAGTAACATTGAAACTTCCTCTAGGAACCAATTTTGACCTGTTCTCTTCTGTGTCAACAGCCACTATGTCTTCTAGAACTTCTTCCAGCTTCTCTAGAATGGTCCTCCGTGGTTGGGTACATCCCACTTTGCTAACTAGCAAAGTGTTCTAGGGCTATCCATACTATGTTGTGAGCTGTGACATTGCACCTCAATGTATGGCAACATTATTGTTGCTGTTACACATGCTATTTCTAGCAATTTAATGTTAGGAAGCTTTATGAGTGAATTTTTAAAGAGAAGTATTAAGATGGTGTGATGATAGCCTGTAGCAACACCAATGAAACAATTTTTAAAATGTTCTTGACATTTTTCATTGCCTAAAGCATGCGATCACTGCCCTTTGGATGGTTTTAAACTATCGAATTAAAACTATTGAGAAAATACTCATTAGCAAAGGCTAGAGTCATCCTTCAAGAGAGAAAATAATTGAGAGGCTGGTCGAGGAAATGTCCAATCCATCTGACTCGGTGGTGGATGTTTCATAAATTTTCCGCTAGCTTTTGCTGTTGAGATCGTTTTGGATTAGCA